TATAAGTCCAAGCCCGAGATTCAAGAAAAATGGTATAATACTATAAAGCAAGAAATCCAGTCAAGTGAGTTGGAGGAAATTCTCCTTGACTTGCTTAACAACAAGGCAGTAGGACTATCCAAAATAAAATACGAAATGCTGAAAAAATTAGGCCCAAAGCGAAAAGGACTCTTCTCAACCTATTTAATCTTTTTCTCACTTCTGGAATAATACTAATGACATGGAAAAACAGCCTTCTGTATCCAATCTCTAAGGGAAAAGAATGGCAAGGGAAGCTAAATAATACCAGACCTATAATCCTTCTGAAAACAACATGAAAATGCTTCACCAAAATTTTTAACAACTGCTTAGAATCAATCTGTAAAAAACACAAAATCCTAAAGGGACCTAACTTCACAAGACTATCAGGTGAAAGTATTTCAGAACCTATACACCTACTAAACAACATCTGTGAAGAAGCCAGAGAGGAAAACAAGGAACTCTGGATTCTCTTCCAAGATACAGCCAAAGCATATGATACTGTTAGTTTGGAAATGTTGGAAAGGGCACTTCAAAGAATCAAAGTTCCATGTAAAATTATCAAACTCTTGCTTGACTCCTTCACATAAAGAACAATTAAAGTGATTACAGACGAAGGCCTAACTAAAAAAATAATAGCAGAGGATGGTATAGATTAAGGAGAAACCATATTACCACTGCTTTGGAGAATCTTTTATGATCCTCTTCTATGTAAAATTCAAGAAAACCAAAGGTTAGGCTATACAATGAGCTGCTTATGGATAACAAATTTTAGCAAACCAGCAAGTAATCCTAGGGTCTCAAGAGAACTTTCAATTAAACAGGCAGCAATAGCCTATATGGACGATACTATATGGATAGCCAGATTTCGAAAGGACATGAACCGTATTCTGGAAAGGACAAAAGGATTCTATACAGCAAATAACTCATAAATTAATGAAGACAAATTGATTCTAATTACAATTAACAGTCACTTCAAAAAACCCAACAAAGTTTATATTGGAACAAAGCAAGAAAAGGTTAAAGAGTTAGATTGCAAAAGCCATACAAGATTCCTGGGCATCAGGCTGGACAACAAAGATTAGACCAAGGATACTATCCATAGAATCCAACAAGAGATCCAATCAGTCTTACCAATCCTAAAAAAAAAGTTGATTACAGATAGACATGCAGAATATATAATTAATAGGGTTCTAATTCCAAGAATTGAGTACAGAATACAGCACAGCTCTATAAGTATGTACTCAAGCAATCATCTCTTAGCACAACTAAGAAAAATATTTAAACAAGTAGCCAGAATTACAAGAACAATATCAAACACATTCATATATCATAAGGCCTTCTACAAACTCAAAAGTATTCATGAAATTCAAATAGAAAGCCAAATTACCAACCTTATAAATTGTCTCAACAATATAGATCATGCTGGCACATCAACTTTCATTTGTCTCAAACAAGCGCAGATAAAACACTGGGAATCAGCAAATGCTTTCGGATGACATCTTCTACAATCCCTACAAGAAAAACTTCACAGCTCAAACACTAAAAATGGCCAACAAACTAGGAATTACTTTTTTGGATTCATAATGGAAAGACATATTCCAATAAAAAGGAGGACACATTACAATCAAAACCCTGCTGAATGATCCTAAAGTCTACAACAAAGCAGTAATCTTATTAAGAAAACATAATATCATGTTTGCAGACCAATTCATAGACAAGGAATCCAATACTCTACTAAATTGGAAAATAATTCAAGATCCACAAAGTCATAGACATGGGCCAGTTCCTAGCTGGTATCAGACAATAAAACAGATCCTAGCAAATGAATTTGGAGTACTAAAGATAACATGAGCTAGGTATAAGTGGGTAACACAGGATAGATCACTTTTCATCACCGAAAAACCAGCCAATTCAAGAAGATGGAACTGGCAAATGTATATGGACAGTATCAACAAGAAGCTCTGCTGGATCAGAAGCAAAAACATAGTGATAAATAATAGCAGAAAAATAGAGTATTATCAAGTCAGCTTAGATAGACTTTCGGAAACAACAGAGTTCACAAGAATACAATCAGGACATAGAAACAATAGAGAAAGCCATATACTAACATTCACCTGGATCAACAATATAAAAAAATATAGGAGAAACAAGAAGCCAACCATTCCAATTGAAGTCTATATACTAGAAAATCTGGTCAAGGATAAGATGAAAAAGACATATTTACAGGATATATCCACATCAAAGCTTCAATTTGTGGAGATTGAAGACCACAGCAGGCAAATCATACAAGACAATATACTGGAAGGAGATTTCTGTGCCCTGCTATGTAAAGAATATTATTTAAATATGATCCAAAGTTATACTGGTCTATACTATACATATGGTAGAATTGAATTCAACCATTTTTCAAAAACCATATTATGGTAGAATTACTAAGTAACATATAGTAATTAATTGGAATTCATATTTAATTCAGAATCGTATTGTCAATCAAATTTCCTTTTATGATAATACGACCACATGTATGGTCCATACCAATTCTATACTGATGGATCTCTAGGACATATGCAAGATCAGTCCTTAAGAATGGATACAAACTGAAGGTTCTAATCCTGAAAGAACATTCCAAGTAGCTGTGAAGAACTGGCCTTTATTAACCAGAGTGGAATTGGTAACAATTCTTCTAACAATCCTCTCAGTCCCTAATGATAACATAGTTGAAATTAAAACAGATAGCTCTTCTTGTATAAACACTTACTTGACCATAATCAAACCGCACCCCAAGGAAACTCTAAAAAAGCAAATGAAAAAATCAAATTGGCAACTCTGGACAAGACTGGCCAACATCATATCCAAGAAGAATTTACTCCTAAAGCTCACTAAAGTAGCAAAGATCCTTACAACAATCAGGTAAACCTGCTAGCTAAGAAGGCCAAGAAAGAACCAGAGATTCAATAAAGGCCCTTATCCACAATAGTGTCCATCACAGTACCAGAGTGGAATAAGATTTCTATTGATATTTCAATTAGAGCATTCCTCAAGGATTATAATGAAAGGAAAATCCTTATGCAATGAACATCGCAAAACTGAATTCAGTAAAGATAAAAGAAAGAGATTCAAAATCTTGAAAAGTTTGACTGGAAAGGTCTTTGGAACTTCAATAAAAATAAAGGATCCCTTACTACTTCTCTTAAAACAGCCAGAAATAGGACATTCAAGGCTAAACTGATTCATAATGAACTTCTAACTATAAACAATCTAATTAAGAGGAATGTATTAGAAATGTTCAATAGCCTGTGTGTATTCTGTCACCTTAAAGAAGAAATCTTAGACCATCTGCTAACATGCAAGGAAACACAAGAACTCAAGAAGAATATATGGCATCAAGCCCAGAACAAACTCATAAAAGAGTGGATCCCATGATATGCTGACAAAAAGGTAAATGGAAAGTATGCAGTAATAGATATACTCTTTGGTAAATGGGAAGTAGAGAAAACTGACTTGGCCAAGGAACTAATTAACATATCTATTGGTTTCTGGGCAAAGAAAGATATAGAAGAATAGATCAATGCCCTCCGGTTACTAAAGATTTCCAAAGTTACATCCAGGAGAATTCTCAATAAACTCTTTAGGTTTTGATATAATAAGATAAGACAGCTAATTTGGAACTCTAGATATGAAAAGATTTAAGAGTACAAGAAGAGTTTCCTGGAAAAAAGCAAAGGAAAAAAGACAACCACATCCAAGTGCAAAGCCACTAATGTGCAAAACTTTCAAAAGGGGAAAGAGATATTCCAACAAGATTCGTCAAGCTCAAGAGCAATGGCAACTTATCCAGGGACAACAACTGGCCAAAGCTATATACCTGGACTCATGAGGGTGTTATGGAATAAAATAAAGGAAGAAAGAAAATGGCTAGGGATATGAAGTAATCAAGATTTTGCCAAGATGAACTGTAGTGATGAACTGCAAGCAATGAACTTACATTTTCTCAGGAACAGAAAACAAGAGGGAGCAACTTTATTCATCTCCAAGATCATATCTAGAGGTTAACAACCTAAGACAAGTATTCAAGTATAAGTAATTAGTTTATGTATATAAATCAAATATGTATGAATATGTCTTTTTTTAAAGATTAAATAATGCAATAAATATTTGATTGATTACCGAAAAAAAAAAAAAAAAAAGTAAAAGAAAATAAATCTTACACTTACCTCAATATTGTCATGTGACCCAGCCGAATGTTTATGCTCCTTTCATGAAGTACTATCCATAATAAACATGATGTAGCATGAGTCAGATCAAAGTAACTGGTTCATAAGCAGTATTAAAAAAATAAAATGTTGGAATTTTATATCTATAATTTATATATAAATACCAAACGTCCGAAGTACTCAAGATTTTTTTTAGTTAATATTAAAAGTTCAATATAAATAATAATAAAAATTCATGTGTTCCAAATTTGATTCAGTATGCCTAGCCAAAGAATTTTTTTTAATATATTACAATTTTAAGGAAAAATTAGATACTAATGATACAAGGATTAGAACTTAACAAGAATTACATATTGACCTTATTTTGTTTGCTTCTATTAGTCAGTTTTATCGACAGGAATGCAAAAAAAGCCCATGCGAATACAATTAGCAAAACATAATATACAGTAAAATTATCAGATAGTATTTAAAACTATAAAGTTCAATGATTGTATATGAATCTCTACCTATCTGTACATATTTAACGTCAATTGAAAGAAGATAAGAGAGTGAGTGAGTAAGTGAGTGAGTAAGTGAGTGAATTTCTGAATGCCAGGTTTGAAAAGTTTGATAAAACCAAATATATACACCCTTGGACTAAGCTCTCAGAGATAAAAGGCTTCGGCAATTCACCTTTGTGCTGAAACCTAAGATTGGTTGTTTTCTATCTTAATATAGGCAAACATTCAAATAGCATCAAATAAAAAGAAGCTATTATTTACAAACCACAACCATCTCAGAAATTTGTAGGTGTTGTCAGACATGACCAATTCTAATCTAGAGGTGGCATCATTTAAAATCAAACCATAGACAAGAGCCAGCCCTTTGGCAGCTAATCCCAGTTTTTCCTTTGATACAATTGAAGATAAAAAGTAACCTACCAAAAAAAAAAAATTATAATTGAAATGCAAAACATTTTTAAGATTGAAGAAAATGATTACAAAGAATCAATCGATCATATCTATTACCCATGTTGCCATATAGCACAGTAAAACAATTAAATAGACTTTATAGAATAGAGCTTGATATGCATAGAACAATATTAATGCCAATGAATACATAAGTGATGTCAATAAAATTTGTGGAATGTCGGTAACAACTTTAGCAAGAAAGTATAAAACAGTTCTTATTCCCGCTGCCATATCACGCAAATACATGACTTTCTCATATCCAAAAGTTATTGTTTCGGCTATTCAGAGAAAAAAAAAAAGATGATTGATTAGAAAAAGAGAAATCTTCCATTTTGGATATTCTCTTCAACATACTATTGATCCCACAAAAGGTAACACCCAGCATCATAAATATCAAAATATTCTAAAATAATTTTGATTGATCTATTTGTTTATGAAAAGAAGGGATATGAACACAAAGACAAACATCCAATTACCTGAAGCCTATCTGCTAGTGAAAAACAAGAAGACAAAACTATAAATGAAGTTATATTGCAGAGATTTTGAGACACTTTTTTAATATAATCCTGATTACTTATTACAAATGAAATAAACAGACTGGCCACAAGATATATGGATTAATTATATATAAAACCACCTCTGTTTTGATAAAGTTGCAAGTAGAACCTTTTGAATAGGAACATGATTGTTATGAAAACATTTAGAGTTTCTCAGATATGATTGTTTTTCCAAAGTGTACAAGATTTGAGAAATTCCCAAAATTTAGAAATCACATCAATAACATATTCATAAGATTCAACGTAAATATAATATATCAATGAGATGAAACCTTTTGTAAGTTTATATGATTCCACCTTCTATCTCTCTAAAGAATCCTATAGCTTTCTTTTTTTCCCCTTTTCAAATTTCATGAAGATCGACCAATGTCATATTTGGCTTCCCCTAAGATGCGTTGATAAACAAAACATACATAAGGAGCTGTAAATAATAAAATGATGTATATGATTTCGATCTGTTTTATCTTTTCCAGATGCAATCTCCATCATGAAATTGGATAAACTAAACAAAAATACATATGTGTGCCAATAAGTGTAAGTTCATATTTATACCCAGTTCCCAACTCATGTTTTCATATTTTGAAAAATATCTTAAAATAGTGGACTCTCAAAACCGAGACCAGTGAAATAATCCTTTGCCTTGTATCGCTCACCAAAATATATGATCATCCCTCCTTTTCCTAGCAACATGAAATCATCAAATATATTAAACAACTGTGGTGATGGAGAATGAATAATTGCTATAATCATAAGCTCTTGTTGGTAAGCAATGCTTTTCAATATAATGCACATTTCAAACAATGTAACAGAATTTAGATCCAAAGTTGGTTTGTCCTGCGATTTGAAAAAAAATATTTTGTTAGACAGAAATTCATTGAGATGATGTATAAACGTTAATGAAACTTATTAAGAAAGAATCGATGGCTCAGCAACAAGTTTCATTCCTATGTTCACGCGTTTTCTCTGTCCATCAGAAATACCTCTTTTCTCTAATGACAATATGGACAAATTTTAAGTATTGAAAAATTAAATTAAAACTTCAAGAAATAATGAACTTTACCCTTATCTCTGATAATTGAGTCTATTACATAATTCAATCCTAAAAATTTCATTTTTTTTCTGTGCATTCTATACTATATATAACTAATATACTGGTAAAAAAAAAACTCCACAACATTCCAATTGTAAAAAATTTTCTTTTTGAATAATATGCTATGAACTGTGGATTGATAAACAGTCTTAATCTCTAAGAGCATATCTTTTTAGCAAAGAGAAAAACAGCTCTTGGTTAGAACTATAGGATGCAAAAGTTTCAATTGAAAAAGTAATCTTTCAGTTGGAAAAATAACTCTTATAGAAGGGGATGAAATGTTTTCTATAAAATGAAATGTTTTCTGCTATGCTTGTTTTACTAAAATAAAACCTAGTAAACTTCCTTTAAAAAAATTCTTTTATCTATTTTTTTTTTTTTTCCTCTAATCAAATTGCTATTAGTATGTTTATTAGTTCAATTCTGAACAACAATAATACAATATACAATATGATACTATACTAAAGCTAAATAATTTATCATAGCAAAACACCTGTCAACAAGTTACAGATTTGTACATGATCCTTGAATCCTTAATACCAAGACCACCGTGTTGCCCACATGATCTAGCTATTCACTAACTATTTCATTACAAG